TATGTATTTTAATTGTAATTGACAAGTCATATTGTAATTTGAAAAGATTTACGAGAAAAAGAACAGGTAACGTATTATTAATTAGGCACATGTACTTAAGTGCAAGCGCATTTAACATCAATCAAGCTTTCTCAACACCTAGTCAAAGAGTTTCCTATGCAAGTAAGAAAGTAAGCGCATGTTTAAAAAAATGCCTATTGAAAACTAAGTTAAACATGATAAATATTCCACAGATTATTTGTTTTCTTCGCGCGTGCACTTCTGAAGTCTTCGATTTGATGAAGTGCCAAGTAGCGTGAAATTACTGGCAACTTCAGGTGCCATGATGTGCGATAAAATATAATACATTGACGTTTTAGGATCATCATCCATTAATCACGTCAACATGCCCATCTGTAATATGAACAAATAATCAAATTATTGTCGTCGACTTATTTCTTTCTGCTGCAAACAAGCGTCCAACATCTCCAGTTCCTCTTTAAATGACAAAGGGAACTGTTGACTTGACAGTCCGCAATCGAATGTTCGCGCTCATCGGACTTCGACAGCAGCAGCTTCATATCGCTGCTCAAGTCAGAAACACCGGACAATATGCTCTGCGATACAGTATGCAGTCAATCAAATCTCAAAAACTTAATCAGAGACGTGACTTACTCGGTCGCAATCGCACTACCTACACGCCTAGACTCGAACGTTGATTGCGACGTATCCAATTGTGTCGAACTAATTAAGTGACATCTCAAAAGTAAACAAGCCTACTTAGCAATCGAAGAGACAACACTGCCGAGCGAAAGAAGTTTGAGATATTGAAGATGGCTATTTCTAGCCTGCGTCTCGAGCACATCCATTTCAGTAGAATTGTACAGAAACCCTTCTTTACATTTCAATGCACCTCTACAGAATGTTTGTGAGATTATTATACTGACCTCTTCGGCTTCTCAGTTCTTATTGGCAAGGATTTTTGGAAGGAAACCAACATATCCTTTGCAGACTGGAGACCATCTATAGTAAACGATCGTTCCCATGTTTGTGACTCACCACATTCGTGAATGATGTTACACTTCAGGACTGACCAATTATCATCTAGTTGTTCACTTTTGCAGGTGGATATCAACAAGCTCCGTTGGATAGAAGCAAAGTTCTTTGCCAACAACCCACTACTTGGCTGCTATCATAACCTGCTTCTTGCTTGATGCGTCTACAATGACGTATTGTTTGTTAGCGGGCTAAATATTACATAAGAGGTAAGGAAATGGTTTGTAGTCATAATTTTAGCGCAACTGAAACAAAACACATTTACATAAAAGTGTGTAACAATGGAACAATAACTAAATAATCGATACAGTTAATGACAATACATTTACAGTCAATATTCTTAACAGAAACCCGCATGTGCTCATAACTAACTACTGAGCATTTAAGTATTCCTATGTGATTAGAAGGGAAGGGATCCTCGAAATAATTGCGTGGGTCTGTAAATGAGCTAGATTTCACCAATCCACCCTCCCCTACACTAGTGACTAAACCAGGCTTTCCGTGTACTAGTACGACATTGTCCGGTTTAAATGAAGGTATTTTAGTATTCATATGCAAAATTGCTTGTTTGATGGTCATGGGGTACTATTAGTCGGAATAATCACAGAAAGACATTTTCTCCGCATAACGCTGAGCCGTTTGCCTGACAACAACCCGCTGTGCATTGATTTCTTAATTTGTTTCACATAAGTATTAAATGTGAAAGCTGTAAAACTATCCGTAGATCCATGTGCACGAGCATCGTCAGGAACGTGCTGCAAAAAATGGACATTATAAACTAAGTTTTCAAACCCATAACACCGTTTATATTTCTTAAGAAGATTCCTCAAATCTATTCTGACGGATTTTGTAACGCCATTATGTAATTTGGGGTAAGTTAACGGATAAACCGATAACGCTAAATGCTTAAAATTAAGGTACAAGTGTTGCGTCAAAGTTTGTTGGCGAGTCATGGGGCATAAATATATAAGAAACGATCGACACTCTGAAGTTTTTCGTACTGATACCAAGTCAAATTTACGGCATTTACGCTGAAAGTCGGAGGGAGTACTCGCCATGCAACTAGATATTAATTTACCCTAATACGTAACTACACATGAGTTCATGTTTCTTAGTCGTTTGTGTGTGAATTCTATCCATAGATTAGCTAGTTTCTTTGTGACACCTAAGTACACCACGTTCATTGGACCTGATGGAAAAGTTGAGATTATATTAACTGGAAGTGTTTCTAAAGTGGAATGGCCTTTATGGTGAGTAGATTGAGTCTGCTAACGAAAGCTGTCATCTATTTGCAACATATATTCACCGTTTGGTAAAGTTGAAGATGCCACAGGTATTCGGAGTTTTACAACGCTTTACCCAGTAACACCTTTTATATGAAGCGTTCCCACCAAGTGAAATCAAAAGACAGAAGCGAGGGGTTCGAAGATATATTTGATAGGATATCAGTCTATCGAGGATCGATTGATCTAATCTGGCTAGCGATTGCAAGGGACGTTGAGCACGGTGTTCCCACTCGTGATCTGGTGCAGATGCATGATCGGGCGCCTTCAGCTAGGTGAGTCCTTCAAAACTAATATAGTTAGCATCCAATGTCAAAGACTTACAGAGCTATTGAGTTTGGGGACTTATTTACCGCTATAAAGTAATCTTTCTGTCAAGCCGTCTACCAACCATAAATCACCCGTTGCAAATTTTCCTTCCATTGTGATTAACTGTGTATCCAAAATCTGTACAGACAGGTGTATCACATATTACATCAGACAACTTAGTAGCTATGTATTTATTGAACTTAATACTAAACAGACTCACGCTGTTTATCCGTTTTAGTTCAAAAATGGTGTACACAGAAATTTCGTTGAATTCCATAGATCTCTAACCTTGGGGCAACGATCCGTCCTGATACAGACCATAAATAATGTCTAGAGCTCCTTCAAATAAAAAGTCTATCTACATTGATATACAAATCTAAAGTATTAAAAACATAAATACACAACCAAAGTCCAACATATCTCAGCAGATCGGTTTTCAATCCGAGATGGTAGTAAACCCCACTGTTGATGAACTTCGGTTAGATACTTGTGCGCGTCCGCAGAACATTTATGATGCTGCTCGATAAGTCTGGAAGAAGACCTCGGAAATCAATCAGAACTCGGTCAGCATTTTCGATGCTCAGATAGGTTTTTGTCATTAAATTCATCAATATACTATTGATCTGCCCCTTACGATTTACGGACTTCTGAAAGCGCAAATTAACGTCATGACATAACAAAAGAAATATATTAAAGGATTCACTTCTTAGACGCACCACTATCATCCCTAAGCCTTTCAATGCTGTAGCTACTGGGCGCTGTTACAGTTAATGGAATCTCATTACAATCAATGTCTGTGTTGACTGCTATGAATTCAACATAAATCACCGTTAAAGTCAGTTACCTTCGATAAGGCTTTCATTAGCAAACTTACTAAACGAAAGCAAGTTATGTTTTATCATGAAAGCTGTTCGTATTTTATTCCACCATCTGTCATAAGTCGATCTATGACAGTCAAAAACGCTTGACAAGTTCACAGTTGTTCTACGTCTACCAGCTCTTTCACTGACTTTAACTGAGTTCACCTTATAAGACAGACAAGGTGATTAGTGATAGTAAACTCAGAAAACAAAGAGCGCGCCACTGAGTTGCATCACTTATGCTATTTGTGAGGTCACCAAGCTTTTCGCAACAATTTAACTAAACAAACTACGAAGTAAGTACATATGCATCTAAAGAAAACGCACATGTCTGCGTTTTGTTTACTTGTGTAATTGATAATAGTCTACATTCTCTATTAAACAGTACGTTATTTTGTATACGTTCATGAAAATATAAGTACACAAGGCGGCATATTCAAACGTGAAACGTTACGTATGTTTCCACAAAATTTCCCCAAATACACGACGTAAGGGAAAAAGTCGACATTTCCCTCAAATAACAGACATGAAGGCAAAACACTGACATTTGCTTTTTATTAACTCTTTCGTCTCCTTTATTTCCCCCTTATTGGTTGCTTGGGTATGGAACATGCTCTAACCTCTGCCATTCTCTGAGTCATTATGTTATTCCAATACTCCTCACTTGATTATGATGCCTTTGTTATAAAACGAACTTATCAAAGTATTTTGTCAACACTTAATAAATGTCACTTAATCTGAGAACTGCTTAATTACATGTTTCCGGTCCTTACAAATAATTGCCTTGGCCATTATAATGACCACATCCTGTTTCTGCTAATCACTTAGTTAATCATCCGACACTGTATCCATAATGAATTGTAAAGATACAAAGTTATGTGACACTACGACTCGCTTAATATTTGGTTGCAAATCAAATAACTTAGTGTGCTACCATGATTTTAAAACGAATCGGAAGTACATAATTTTCCTCTCAAAGGTTAACAGTTAGTCCGTTAGTATTCTATACATCAAAATTAGATCCCTTAGTCTGCTGTAGGACAGAGTAAAGAGGTCTAGCTTCTGAGGCCTCTTTTTGTATGGTAAACTCCGGGGTTCTGGAGTTGCACGGGTAACTGCCCTCTGTACTCTTGTCAGGATATCCGAGTCACATTCCAAACAGTAGCTTGCAGCCTTAATGCTGTTCTCAAGCTTAGTTCTCACTAAGGTTTCGTATACTGTAGTGAACATGGTAGTATCTAACTTAGTGAATGTCCGTTTAAAATCCCAGAGGGTTCTAAACCCCTTAACTGCCACCTCCCTGCAATTGACTATCGTCTTAAGATCATGACTCATTGTCGCCCCGATATCCTTATGAGAGCGGACCACGGGTACAGGCATTTCCCCTATGCTGTACCTATTAACACTTGTATCCAAAAAATGAATGAAGACACACTTTACCGCACTGATAAGCATCAGCCACTCTTTAGACCCGTTAAACCCTTTCTGAAACCATTTTGTTCGCTGTTTAACAGGTTATTGGTTCCCACAAATGTCATTATGGTCTGTTTGACTATTCTTCGCATTATTTCAACTACAACACTGGTAAGACTTACAGGTCTGTAGTTCAATGGAAGTTGTCTTGGCCCTGTTCTAGGTATTGGAGTGACGATTGCATCCTTTCAGTCTGTAGGTAACACACCTTGTTCAAGTGACATATTGGATATCACGGTCAGTGGAGCTGCGATATATTGTGCAATATATCTCAGGATTTAGAGGTGTAGTTCATCGTCTTAATCAAAGTCCACGGTGAGTAGGCGGTTTGCTGGTTTTGTATTTGGGTCTGGTTCTTTGTCTAGGAGAGGTTCCTGAGTGAAAATACCCCAAAATAGTTAACCATATCCTCTGCTTTTCCTGATCTTCATCTATCATTTTAGATTCACTCCTTTCTTTAATTAGGTTGGGAACCCAATAATGCGTCCTTGTTCTGTAATTTATGTACGAGAATATTCTCTTAGGCTGCTTAAGTGCAGGTTGTACCAAATGCATTTCATATTTTCCCTGGGCTTCCAGAATTTTAATTATACACGTGTTTCTTGCCGACCTGTAGCGTTCCCATCGTACCTGCTGTGCCAAAGCTAATAGCTACATCCCAACAGCCACATTTCTTCTTTAGTCTTAGTAAACGTCTAATATCCCGGCTTATCCAGGTGTGGCCGTGCTTCTTCTTTGGAACTGTCTAGTGTATAAATGGTTAACCGCCAGAAATTAGTGTGCCTTTTCTACTGATGCCGATGAGTCAATTTCCCAGTTTTTAGTCGATGTTGTACACTTTATTGCCTCCATATCTGCCTTCCATATGTTAGGATTGGCGGGCGCAACTGTTTGACAGGCATGAATTCGAATAATATGACTGCATGATCGCTTCTCCCTAGTGGTGGGAGGAAAGTCATTTGACCAACGTCATCACCGTGTGTGAAGACTAAATCCAAAAGAGGAGAAGAGCTTCTTAATTCATATCTCGTGGGATCTTTTATGTGTTGTAATAAAGCTAATGCAATTGAGGTTTCTATCAGTTTGCAATCGAATAATGTTATCTATGACCATACTTCTAAGTTTACCCAGTCTATCTACGGTGCATTAAAGTCGCCTATTACAACGCTTTTACCCCTATTACACCAGGACTTAAGTTTGCTTAGGAGGAAGTCATCTACTACACATTCTGGACTACGATACACTACAACTAATTCAATATCTTGCCGCCTACATTTCAGCTTGCAACGCACCAGTTCACGTCCCTGAATCATGTGCCACTGTCCCAACTGCCCGTATGGTTAAGGTACTTTTCGTGTACAGGATAACCCCGCCTCCTCTATGATTCAATCTATCAACTCTATTGAATAAAAAACCAGCCAATTAAATTTCATTATCGAAAACTTCTGACGTTAACCATGTTTCTGAGACAGCAATAACATCTAGTTTCTATTTATCCACCATTCTTTTGAGCTCCGCAATTTTATTTAGTGGACCGCGAGCATTTGTGTTGCACACCCTCAATTCTGTGGAGAACTTTCTCTTACCACCCAGAGTGGTTTGAGGATCGTTTTGATCCGAACTTTTACAATTTGAAAACCCTTAAGAACCATGTTTCTCTCACCGTTTCGGCAGCTCTCATTTATTTCTACTTCTGTAGCTCGTCTCTTAATACGATCAACCTGGCTGAGATCCTCACGGACGTATATTCTGGATCCAATCAGTTTGCGTGAGTTTCCTAGTATCAGGTCTCTTTCTTCAACCGTAGCAAAGGTAACCGTCAAGATGCGGGCTTTATGAGTACTTTAAGAATCCACCTTTTGTCCTATTCTATTGTTATAACCTCTCTTTCTTACGGTTATAACCCAGCTATTCCTATTGCTTAGTATTCTTGGACACCAAATCACTCGACAAGTCCCCAAATCAGAACACGATTGAACAGGAAAGAGATTATATTCCAAATAACAAGGTTAGATGGAAGTAAGGTGCAAGTAAGAAGCACAATAGAGAAAACATTAGTATATTTGTAGTTTTTACATGAGAAGATTCTAGACTAATGCTGATTGGATGAGAATTAGCCAATCAGCGTCCACCAAAGCAATCGTGCATTGAGCATGCTTTAATCTAGTCTATGTCCCGCTAACATCTATAAAGCTTACAGATGCTAACTCCTGAAACTGTTCCTGCGAGTAGCTTGTTTATCAATGTAGTGCTCAAATCTGACTTTTGGTTCTTTATCGGAAAACTCTCTTAACTTATGAAAAATGACTGACCTCTCAGCGAAGTCCGTTTTAACACGCTGTGGAATTTTTGTTCCTGAAATCGTCTCTTCCTTGCAATCCGAATCCAATTCAGCGTCAAACGCAGAGGTTACATTCTGTTTTTTACTTTTCTTTTCCTAGGGGTGACTGTGAGTCACTAATCTACCTTATTCTGTCTCTTGATCACATCCTCTATACCTCTCAGATTTAGCTCCCTCTTAGTTTGTATTGCATTGATATGTGAATCCCGAACTAAAACCGTAGATTCACATACCTCAGTACTGTCTATAGGTAGTTTCTTCTTAGCGCGCTTTTTTCTTTTTTCTTGTGACGAGGCCTACATTCATATGCTTATATACTTCTCTGATTGAGTCCACCTTTATGGTCTCATTTAGATCTAGAGCTGGGCTCATGATAACGCTTTCAATTTCCTCAAAAGCGGAATTCTGTTCACCTACTTCTGCTTGTTTATCTGAGGGCAATTTTCTAGCTATATTTAGCAGCTCAATCACTTGTAGAATCAGCAGAGACTTTGTAGAGCAACATTCTTTGCACAGTCAGTCAGTAACAACGTAGAACTTCGTACGTACGTACATCAGTTTGAGTTGCCACACCACCTTAGCACAGAGATGCTGTTGTCGATTCAAATCCCGTAGTGGTAGAGGTAGCAAGAGTATAAGCAGTAATCGGGAAGATTAGTGTTTGGAGATGTTACTGAAAGAGTATAATCCAGTGAAATAAATTTGGAAAGAGGAAAAAAGGGACATGAAGAATTCAGAAGATTAGAATTTGGGAGAACACAAAGAGTGGATGCACCTGCGCCATTGCAAACGATTTTGAGCCATGTCATTCAGGGTCTCTAACCATCGGTTGCTATCATCTCGCGGTCCCCAACCAGGTAGTCTACATCTAGCAACATGACTCAGTCCACTTGTCAGTGACTTCATGGACTTGTGCCATGTTTTGGTCTGGCCGCCCCTAGCTTTCTTCCAACCTACTCCTATACCACTGAACATAGCACGACAATGGCTTGCAGCACCGTATATTCATTCGGTGTGAGTCCGGTGTGCACATTGTGATACCACTTATTACAGTTATCACATCGCGTCCCATCGTCGACAGGGAAATAGCATGACGGTCTGCTACAACGATGTTTCAATTGCGCCATAAATTTGTTTTATGTTTATGTATAAGAAAAATAAATGTACCTAACAACAATGAAAAAAACCGACTTCCGTAGTTACAAAAAGACCTTAACACCTATGGATGCAAACAATACTCAAAGTTATACTCAACGATGAAGAATAAATATCAGTACTTTTGGTTATTTTGTATCTGTACTCGTAAAGTACAGATGATAAAATTCTCTAGAGAAAAAGCGGTACTCTTGGGGATTACTTTAACTGAAATAAATTCAGTAAAAGCAAAAACAGTAGTCTTGGTGCGTAATTTAACGATTAATACTATTAAATATACTCGCAGCAAAAATTCCACTGTTCTTTTTCAATAGCGCGCGATCTTCGTCAAATACCTCTGACTTTAATGTCAGGCACTCGAAAGCCACTGCGGATGAAAACTACATTAATACACTGAGTACTTTGAGTAAATATTTTGACCTTGTGACAACGATTACTAACTAGTTAGTAATTCTCTAGGTGTCTTTCTCTTAATATTTGCTAACTACATCGCAAGAGATTAACGAGTCTACTAGATGGTCTGCAACATGTGTAAATTTAAATTAATTTTGCCTTTTCGATCATCTTATTTTAGAGACGATTTGATTTTTGTGTTCCATGAAATATCAATAGAAGTGGGTAATTATATAATCAATCTTCTCAAGTCGACTGTTAGACCCATCTATTTTTAATGTTATATATATGAGTTAACAAATTTCTAATTGTCATTTTGATTCAAAGAAGTAAGAGTTGTTTATCATACATTAAACTCATTATCACTAAGCTCCCAATTTTCGTTAATGGAGTTCCCTAATCTAGGAGCTAACTGTTCAGTGCCAACTTGTCGAATGCTTGGTACGTGTGAATTCCCAAGTTATACTACTCTAGATTTCTTACCCGTTCGATGTTCTGGATGTCATGGTGTTTTCTGCAAGAATCACTATCTGTACGATAATCACAACTGTAAAAGTCCCGATCTTAAGGATAAACAGGTTCCTGTGTGTCCCTTGTGCGGAACCATAGTCCCTCTGAAACCAGGCGAGCTTCCAGATGTAAAAGTCGGAAACCATATCGACACAGATTGTCGGTCAAAGCCAGCTTTAGAGTTAAAAGGAAAGGTTAGTGGTCCATTATTTCTGACGTAATGCTTATAATGCTCCGATTTTATACTGTCCTCAATAAGATTTGTTTTTACTATGGCATTAGATACATAATGGTCTACTGCTACCTCAGTATGTGTCAATTCGGTTAGAATGAGTTATGAGCATACAGTAATACATTTAGGCATAAAAGTCATCAACTCAGTCTGTCAACAAACTTTTTTAGAGGAATCATAGATTTTAGGCCTAGTGGTGCTAAGTATGAAGAATTGGATGGTGAGGTTGTAAATCTTTATTATTTGAGATATCCAGAATAAGTGTTAGGCATGCATAGTTTTTGTCTGGAGTCTGCGAAATAACCATGTTCTGTAGTTAGAGACAACATGATATCCAAAATCGACCCCATTGGTGTGGATGCTATAACTTTATCCTCTTGTGTGTTTGGAACACATTGTTTGTCTGTATTCTGCATTTACTTTGTTTGAAAACACAACAGTACGGTGTCAAAATGTTGAAATACTCCCAGTTAATTTGAGGTTGATTTCAAAAGACCATTGTAAATTTTGACTAATAATCACCGAATTATTATTTCTACCTTTGCAGGAATTTCCATAGCGTAATAGTTTCTATTGTAAGAGAGTTTTTAAAGGGTTACCTACCGTAACCTATAAACTAGTGTGGATGAGTTTATGGCATTTAAATTCAATTTCTGTTGGCGAAATTCCGGTCTGTTAGAGTCGTATGTAATAATATTGGTCAGTTGTGTGTGTCATTGTTATGAAATAATACTCCACGGTCATTACATTCACATTCATGGTACTAATTGAGTTGATTTTAGTGTAAAATCTTGAATCACAGTTGACTTCCTGAAAGTTAGTGAATTCCGGGAAATATCACCACCGGGTGTTTCATATATAACCAAGTTTTTAGCTACTTGATTAACATTCAAAATGTTATTCTCACTTCTCACTTCAAACACTATGGTATTCTAAATATTGAAGACTGTTCGATTAAAGGAAAGATCAACCTTTATGTATTAAAAGCCATAACAGTATGTGACGATATAGACTGGCTAATGATGGGTTGAGACTTTGATCTAACTGTTGTTTTGTGTAACGTCTATGAGATTTTGTCATGGAATTATTCATCGCTGTCTGCTTTGTTATTGTATAGTGAAAATTTCAATACACTGTAAGACCCATCAATATGCGTTGCAGACACAGCATAAAATGCTATTGACCATAGAAAATCATCTCGAAAGATATGATAGCTTGCTCACATGTTACCCACACTGCTTCAGCTAATTTAATTGTTGTTTGGACGATGCAAAGACATAATCTGTTCATAGTGTCTGGAGTGAGATGAAGAGTAGTTTTCCCAGGCTAGCTTCTGCTGTTACCTTCATACTAAGGTTGCAGGAACTATGAAGTCAGTGGCTTAAAATGTTGGGAATAATTCGAGATCATTGTCAACGGAGATTATACCGTAGGTTGTCTTCTTTACAGGATGAGTCCGGTAAACTATGCACCGATAAGTCAGACATTTAGTTACGCTCCCATTTGTTTGTTTCTTATCATTAATCTTAATCTGTTTCGCTCATTTTCATAACATGTAGTAGTCTTATTTTTCTTGACATTCATCTAGTTGTTTAAATTCCTAAAAAGTCTCAGTCTTAGAAATTATACTTACCGAGAATTATCTATAGTGATATTATTGTTGTTATCTATAATTAGAGATTAAGTGTTGTTAACCATCCTTATAAACTTTGATCAATTTAACTAGCATACATAACAGAATTTTATCCAATCCTCTTGAAAATGCAAACTGTCGGAAACAAGACCCCTTCTTCTGAATCTCTGACATGATAGTAAAATAATTAGTGAATGTAAACAGTTCAGTTTCCTCAAATGAATCTTTATAGATGAAGAAAGTTATCAAGCCTATTGCCAAATGGTTTAAATAACTTTCCTGTATTCAAGTCATACTGATTTAGTTAGTGGAAATTCACATACTAAGTGGCATATTTTGATTGGAAATGCAGGGAGAATAGATGCGAAACAGAGTAATAAGTTGTAAAAGTAAATCATTAACGCATAAACACTACTTACTTCAGTATTAGTCTTGAAGACATTTAAGCTAGAAAAATGATTATACTGTAAGTTTCTTCAAAAAGTTTTGTTAAACACAGAATCTATATTTCGCAAACAAATTAGACAACTGTGACTGATAAAAGGAATCACTAGATGACACTAGTTACAGAAACAAAGATGTTTTCAAATAAACAAACCGGCCATTCAATATACAGTTGTCTGATTCTTGAAATTCAATGAAGTCAAAGTGACAAAATCGTGTCAGGAGTCAAGTGAATGTAATCAATTCCTATAAGTAATAACTATAAAAAAATTACAACCATAATTCAGTTTGAATTTTTGATTGGATTGATTATTGGAGCAGTGGTTTAGTGGTCAACTCTGTCCAAAGCCTCAGTAGGGTTACTTCTGACTCCAAGTCCGGAAAATCTAGGCATAAAGATAGCGACCACGTCCCGTAAAAACCTTTCCTGTAAAAACGCTAACTGAAAAAGTCATTTTAACTATTTAAAATTTGTCCTGAGAGTTGAACGATCATTTTAAAAAGTTATGACGCCTCATGGTGAAAGCTGAGGTTCTCCGAAAATCACGAGGTCTATGCCCTTCTGACAACCAGAACAACAATTAATATGAGTACGCTGAATGTCCGGACATAAATGTGTGTATATTTGTGTTTTGTTCTCAGTTGAGATTATTACATAATTTTGTTCTCTTCTTTGTTTGTAGTTATTCACAAATGCTTGCTGTGTCCCACGATGTAAAAAGAAAGAACTTATACCTTTTGTTTGTGATAGATGCAAATTAAATTTCTGTGTTTCGCATCGTAATGAATTAGATCATGATTGTAAGGGATTTCAACAAAATCTGAATAATTCTAGAAAGTTGTCAACTTCTGGTGCAGCAGCTCTTTATAGAGCTATCTTTAGCAATTTCAATACAAATTCGACTTCGAAGGTGAATTTTTTTGTTCTGTTTGCATATATGTATGTGAAGGTTGGAAAGGGTAATCTCATTTGTCATTTTAACTATAAGTATAATTTATAAATCAACCTTCTTCTTTTTGCATTAAAGTACCACATGTGAAAGTTTGATTATTTTGCCTACAAACATAATCTAGTCGATAAACAAATGATTGGAATGGAGTATATTATAAGAAAGGAATTGTTTCATATCATACCTGACAGATTGGGATGTGGTCTTGAGTGCCGTTAAAGGTATGACATGGCTCAGAATCGGTCACAATGGCCTAGGTGTATACACTCTGTCTTCCCTTAAACTATGAGATTAAAATTGCTTTATATCTTTCTTTTTACGGACTAATTCTTTCTTCATGTACTATATCCTTATATACAATCTTTATTTTATATATTACCACCATTGAATTAACTACTTCTATGAATCCGGTTTTCATCTTGTTGTGCCAATGAGTCAGTGTGGCAACTTGGGCCGGTGCACATATGTGCCTAGTCCTAGGTTGTAGGTGACTGGCCGATTGGGATGTAGGAATCTGTACTACAAACATATTCGGCCATAGCCTCTTATTTATGTAGACAGATAAATCCTGGTACAATTGGGCACTGAAAATACGGCACACAAATAAAGTCACCATGTTGTGAAGAAATAAAGAGAAGAATAGTACAGTCAATAAATAAGTGAACATCAACAGTACGTAATCAGAAATCCAGCTCAGTTGAAAATCAAACCAAGATAAACTCTCAGTGAAGGGGTTCCGTGTCGCTTGTATGAAGATTGTTACAGAAGACTAAAATAGGGTCGCCACTGGTCTTTATTCCGAGTCGTATGCGATAACGTTTCGAGTCACTGTATTCCACAATTTCCAGTGCTCCAACCTGTGAGTCGTGATGAACCAATAGACTCCATCTCTGTAAGTTATCTTCCATTCCACAGTGCTATGTCGTAAACTGACCGTTTCTTTGCTTTTTTTGACCCAATCCTACCGTCGAGAAGTAATGTGCGATATCTAAGCCGCTTGGGTAGAATTTGTAAAGGATGACTGAGCTACCGAAACTGATGCTTAAATATTGTGAGACCAAATAACATAACCTAGGCATTGCTAACGTTGTCGCCGCTAGATGTAAACGATTCTTCTGAAACAAAATTGATCGGACAAAGCCGTCGAAGATCCTCATCTCGGAAGCCAGGTGTCACAAGTATAATGTGAAAGTGTTGTAAAACCGACCTTATACAACCAGACTAACGTTATAATGACACCAGAGATGACCCAGGTCGACATTAATCTCTCTAACTTCCACTATATGTAGACTGATTTCATCAATCACTCCACAACCAACATTCACCTAACTATGCACATGCATCTCTGTTGGATCATTGAGATTTTTTGATTGGGTAATGTTTGGTAGCTTAGAAAGGCTGTCGACAACTAATGAGGTAGTCACTTAAGTTTATCACTTTGATTTATGTGTAAACTAATGATTGAGCTGCTTCCACATTGATTGTATGATGTATATCAAATCACCTGGTGTCCCGTCGAAGCCTAGCTTGCAATTCTAAGCAAACAGAATCTTGTCATCAATTGTGAAAGACTCAGTGATTATGTGATCAAATGAACAGTATTTTCGTAATGATAAGTTAATATCTCCACCCTTTCTTTCATGAGAAAAATTAAATAAGTTTGACAACGAAACTACTAATTTTATAATGTTATGTTACCAAACAGCAAAATTCCTAAACTGTTAGATCGGAATATTTCAGATGAAGCGTGAAGAGTGACTAGCCAGTCCTCCTTCTCAAGTCAGTTTTTTTATACAGTTGATTGGTCTTAGTGCAAGTGAAAATGATCAGTTGGTTGCTATTTAATGCCTTTAAATTTTCACAATGCGAATTTCAATTGTGTGTTCTTCTTGTCACATTATCCTTCCGAAATGGTCTCTTTCTGATAATTTGTAGAATGTATCGCCAACAAACACGATTCACTCATCATCACCTGTTGCTACTTCACTGCCATATAGCGTAAATTCCCGTGAACTTCAGGAAGAAGAAGATTTACAACTGGCTTTAGCATTATCTGAATCACTTTCCAGTCGAACATCTCATTCACAACCATCTAGAACAACACGTCATGATACCTCTTCAAAATCGTCGTGTAATATTTCTTAATTTATTTCCCATTTCTGTGTATAGAGTAAACTCACTTTACGCCTCAGGTTATATATGTTCATGTACTAATTCTTTGAAATACAAGATTGTGATTGTTTTTCTTTCCTGGTAATATTTAAAAAACAAACATGTGTCGTGATTTTACAGCTTACTTTTTTTTAACCAACACAGATTTTTATTTATAAAAAAAGTGATGTAATTTACTGTTTCAATTTGTTCTAGTCAGAGTTCAATATTATCCCCTTATTATTATCTATATTCAGTGTGGGAATTGTGTACAAGCTTAAGTGTGATGATGATACTGAATTCTTTCTCAAATAGAGTATATTTTCCAAGCTTTTTCTAGATTATTTCGACTCATTTGTGGAACCTATCAATGGTGATTAGAGCAAAGCGAATACAGCATTCTGACTTCCGATTCAATTTTGAAAACGAAGAGGACTGTCAGCCAACAGCAAAGTCAGAGTTTCCAATACAGACGTAAAGACTGTTCTGTTGTGTGGGGCTAAAACTTGTAGAACTACTACAACCATCATGAAAATCTTTCAGATTTTTACAAACAGTTATCTACACAAGATGCATCATATCGGTTGACCGGGTATGAACAGTAACTACCTGCTGTGGTAGAGAACGGACCAGCCTCGATCTGAGGAGGCAATTAGGAAAAGATTTTAAAGGTGTGTAGAACACATTGCAGAAGTCATCAAATTGAATCAGAAAGCAAGCTTTAATATGGAATCGTGAAGGAAAATGAGAAGGCACAGACCAACGACACATTGCGCCGTGAACTGGAGGCAGACAACAAGAGAATGGATAGCGCTTTGCGACAATTATAGAGGAGAATCTAGGACATAGTTGGTTAGTGAATAATGGTCAGCGAGCCATGTTGCATGAGGGATAATAGAGGTAAAGTGGCAAATGTAATTTTATTTATTTATTTGGACACGTAAATATTGGTACAAATGAGCACCAAATATATATGCGCCACACAAAATAATGAGGATGGGGAGAGAAAAAAAAGAAGGTAAGGTGCGTACAAGAAAAAAATACAATAACAACCACAGATTAGTGTAATAATAATAATGGGGGAAACGGAAAGGTACGACTAGAGGAATTCCCTCAGTTAAGGAGGATACAACCACTTTTTATTAAGAAAGTAAGAGAACGTTACAGCAGGATCGCTACTGACTTCTATTCTGAGCCATATTTGATAACGTCTCTAGCCTCTGTGTCACACCACCTCTCAGACCGTAGCCTGGGACTCGTGAAGGGCCAACAGAAGCCATCCCTGTACAACTTTCTTTCATACCACGACGCCATGTCATATACTGACCACCTCCGCTTTTTCCAACCAGTTCCAGAGTCGGTAAATAATGCACGACGTGGAATTCTCTGAGACCACATTCGTAGAACATGTCCAAGCCACCGAAGTCGGTGTTTCAAGATGGTGACACCAATTGCATTATCGTCTCTGTGCCCGAACATATGATGCCGAACCTCTGCATTACTGACATGGTGTTGCCACTGGATGTCAGCAATCCTTCAGAGACAACGATGATCGAACACAGAGAGTCGTCTAACATCATTTCGGAGAGGCCAGGTCTCACAAACATAGAGCAAAACTGCTCTCACCACTGCGTTGTAGATCTGACCTTTTACAGCCACACTGACATCACGAAGGCTCTAAAGATGGCCCAGATTGGCATAAGCCGCTCTGGCTTTCACTATTCGTGCATTAATCTCATCACTCACGCCACCAGCAGCACTTATGCAGCTACCTAGATACATGAACTTCTCAACTACTTCCATCTGCTCACCATCCAGGGTGAGTACAGGATTAGAATCCTGCCAGTCTTACAGAAGTACTTTGCACTTCGAAGGTGCAAAGCACATACCATACCTACGGACAATGATTACCAACTGATTGAGTGCGGATTGCATGCCTTGGGCATTATCGCACAGTAAGACAATATCATCCGCATACTCAAGGTCGATAAGTTTTGCTCCAAGTAACCGATCCACATCACCATAACATACATCCATCAAAGATTTTTCTAAGGCTTCATTGATGGCAAAGTCGGAGAGGAATGGTGAGATTGGGCAACCCTGCCTACCCCCACTGGTCGATTGGAACAATGGAGAGAGGTGGTTGTATGCCCTCACTCTGCCTGAGGTGTTTGTATATAGGGCCTTTAAGATGTTAATAAACTCCTCAAGCACACCCTTCTTCAATAGATAATCCCAGAGAACAGTCCTGTCCAAAGAATCGAAGGCAGCCCTGATGTCAAGAAACACTACGATTGTTGGCCTGTGATAAGTATGACGGTGTTCTAACATTTGGCGGAGGGTGAAGATATGATCATATGATGATTAGGAGTATTTGAATTATAGTATAAACTAAGAATCCCAGAAATAACTCAATTGAATCAAGAAGTACTAGACAAGCACGAACGAATGTACTGTATTTGAAATTCGAAATCAAGCATTCAACAAGTAGAAAGGAATCATCAGTTCACTCGAAAACCACAGATCAGTACATCGTCGACCAGAACAAAAACCAGCCTGCTCCTCGCGAGTCAATCTTTCTCGGGTTTTGAACAACCTACGAAGTATGACGGAAGCCAATAGCTTGGACGCAATCGGAAGTAGACTTATCCCCCGATAGTTGTTACAGGAACGACGTGAACCCTTTTTAAAGATAGGGACAACTATCGACTCATTCCATGACGTTGGTACACTCTCTAGTTCCCAAACCTTTGTAAACAACGTCGTCAATTCCTTAGTCAAAAAGTCACCACCATCTTTAAAAAGAGCCGGAGGTAAGTCATCTGGGCCAGGTGATTTGTAACGCTTCAAGAGTTGCGGACTTCCTCCTCATTTGGTGGATCAGTCGTCACCGGCCATGGAGGGCAGGACAGTCTGACCGATGTTGCCGGAGCAGCAGGCCAGTTGAACTGCCCTTCGAAAAATTCTGCCCATCGTCCAAGACGTCGATGGATGTTAGTGATTGGCATCCCATCATCCTCGCAGATTGTTTCACTCACACCAGACTTCTTGCTGCCAGTGGCTCGGATGAGTTGGAAGAGCTTCCGGTAGTTACCAGATGCAGCTGCTGCTTCCAGCTCATTAGCACGCATCGACCACCAGGCTTCTCGGTCCTTACGCAAGCTTTGCCCAATTTCCTTACGTAACATCCTTCGTTTATGGTCAAACTCACGGTCACCCGGAGTAGACCGACGGGCTTCAATGAGTTGTAAGGAACCAGAAGAAACCCAGTGCTTAAAGCGGGACGTTTCGCAAACCCACAACTGACTGTTCCCGCCATTTTCATGGCGTCATGCAATTGCAACCAATGCTCATCTATACTTTTCGGTGGAGTGGTAGCTAGCCTAGAGGCTAGCTCGGTTCGATACTTACTTGCAACAGAAGTTGCAACCAGCTTGCTAACATCAATCCGTTGATGGTTGTCACTTCGTTGTCCACTGAAAAGTAAGGCAAGATTGGCGCAGACCAAGGCATGGTCAGAGTCCAGATAGGTACTCCAAAAGGAGCGGCAGTCTTGTACACAACCACGCCAGCGGTAGCTGATCGCGATGTGATCAATCTGAGTCCAGGCTTGAGATGCAGAGGGAGGACGCCAGGTGGCACATCGGCGATGACTGTGCCGAAAGTTAGTGCTAGCCAGAAACAGGTTGTGGTCTGTGCAAAGTTGCAGTAGACGGTCCCCGTTATCTGACCTGCGACCAACGAGTCCCCATCGGCCACCTAAACGACTCTCTTCTGTGCCTAGACGCCCGACCTGAGCATTCAAGTCTCCGGCTAGTACTACAATATCTGTCGAACGCACTTTCTGGAGAAGAACAGATAACTGGTGGTAAAACTCATCCTTGATTGCATCCGGGCTGCAATCTGTCGGGGCATAGGCGGAGATGACGAAAAGACATCGTTTCTCACGCCGATTTCTTCTCACTTTGATGGAACTTTCTAATCTAACAGCACATAACCGACTGTTAATGGGTATCCAATCGATTAGTGCTGCCTCAGCTCTAGCACTTAGTGCGACACCAACGCCAGCAAAGCGAATTTGTAGTACTTCAACAGAGTCTTGAATACGGGTCTCGGATAGACAACAAACGTCGATATTAAGACTTTCCAAAAACATAGCCAGCCCTATCTGTTGTCTGACCTGCATAAGTTTGCGGACGTTGAAGGCAGTCAGTTTGAATGGTGCACGTGGTTTCAGAAAAACGGCTTCAGTATTGGTATTTGGTGGTAGCATTCAATTTTCAACCAGGCAGTGACTTGAGGACGTTTAGATAGAACCGAGTTTCCACCATAGGCGAGCTGTTGTATAAGTCGAAAAAAATAAGTATAAACAGAGTGGGAATAAAAGAGGGTGAATTATCACGTAGTAAATAATAATAACAATAATAGTAATAATAATAATGGTGATGTGAATCGACATTTCATCATATTTGTGTGTTGGCTGTGATACTGCCCGAGTGCCCAGACCAAAGAAGGTGGTTTTCTTATATATATATATATATATATATATATATATATATATATATATATATATATATATATATATATATATATATATATATTCGTACTCAATTCATATTCTACATATTACATGGTTTGTGATTATATTATTGTCTCTCTCACACCATGTTAACGATATTTATGATGAACATTTATCTCACAATTTCATTTTTACCTATAAACGTATTCAAGCCAACACTCCATGTTAGTCACCCCAACATTAACGATTAGACTTGATTTTACAAATTAATTGAGCGTTGTGTAGAAAGCTAATAATAAATATATTTTTATTATATCCCAATGAGTATAGGAATTATGTTTCTGGCGTTTCGTGACTTGATGTAAGTCATTTCTTCAGAGTAAATAAATAACCATCAGAAATACAATCCTTCTACTCATTGGAATATAAAAAAAGATATATTTGTTATTTTAAGTGATGTATTTTGCTTTAAACC